GTACTATATACAAACAATATAGATAAATACAATTAAAGAAAAAATATCCTTTATTGGAAGTTTCAGGCAAACACTACTTCTGAGTTTTAATGGTTTTAACAGATTATCTATTCTTTTAAAAATGTATTACATTTGTCTATTGTGTGTGCATTCTGGAGCATATGCCAAGCTATGCATGTGAATGCCAGAGGACAACTTGCAAGATGGGTTCTCTCCTTCCACTCTGTGTCCTGGGGGCCGAACTTGGGTCCTCAGGTTGTCAACAAGTCCCTTTACATGCTGAACCATATTGCTGGCCCAGATTATCTAGTCTTTTTTTAAAAAAACAAAAAACATCATATACACCCTTTATTTCCCTGTTCCAACCTCCCCAAGGTCTCTTCCTCCAAAAATATCTTAAAGAAATACAGCAGCTGAACCACCACAAATCTTTATCCTGAAGACAGTGTTTGCCAACTTTCAAAGTTCATGAAAACAGGCAAATTATCAGACACTAACAACAATTTCACAATAAGTTGATTCTTCACCACCTTGACATACGCACAAAGAATTAGGCTCAACTCCAAGAATGAAAATAAATACTTACATGTAATTTTATAAAATAGTATAATGACTGTGAAATCTGTTATTTTGAATAGATTTAAATAAAATTAAAAAAAAAACGACGCAATCCAGGTCTTGGGCTATTTTGGGAACTATTAGGGGAAAAAATACAGCTGGGGGAAGATTACAACAGTCTGTCTCCTCTGATATCAGATGAGGTTAAACCCAATGTTTGAAACCAACAATACAGAGGAAATCTAAGACACTCTTCGGGAATTGAATACAATCAACAGAAAGTAGTGGCACTTAGTAATATCTTCTCCCCTGGACCCTTCTTATTGGGTCTTTTGTTATTTTCAAAAATTTATAAGTGGTCTGGATGGCTGCTATATACACTTTTCTTAAAGCTGATTGGAGGAAAAAAGATCTGTCAACTTCTATCCAAACAAGTATGACCCCTTAGCTTCTTCAGCTGCCAGCCTGTACAGCAGTCAGGACAGCACTGTCACGGTCTTCCCAGCGTGCCTTGGCTCTAGTGCTGCTGCTGGTGGTGATGTTCAGTTTCCAGTCATTTCCAGATTCTTTCTTTGTCAGACTTTGCACCTCGAATCCTTAATGAGAAACTTAGAACAACCTTGGTCACTGTCTCATGGCTTCTCAGTGTGTGCTGTATGCATGCAATTGGGATGAGCAGGCAAAAGCACCTATCACTATTAACCAACATGGTAAGAATTAGTCAGACATTTTTACCTAATGTTAGAGTAAGTACCAAAGCTGGCAGTACTGCCCGATTTCACATAATCATGAAACATGATCTGGAAACTAAAAGGGGGGAAAATGGCCATACTTCTGACTAACTAAATTAGAATGTCTGCAAGTATGAGCCAGATATTTGCATTTCTTAATGGCTCCTTGAGTAAGAAAAGAACAGTCAGGTTGAGAAACACTGAATTAAGAATAAGAAGTTTAAAATTAGCTACTTGTAATTTTGATGTTGTGCCCTAATAGAAATATGTGAAAAAGTAGTGAAATACTTTACTATACTGTACTATCAAATATGTTGCCATTACATGTTTAATAGAAACTATACCATACTTTTCTGTTTTTGTAAAAGCCCCACAGTTTTACACACATTGGCAGACGGCTGCACTGGACAATCTTCAGGGCTGTTGTGGTGCTGTAATAAATAGCACCTAGTATGACTGACTTTCTTAATTGAGAAATCATCGGCTATCCTCCTCCACCTCTTCAGGGTGCCACAGTGACAGCTTCAGAGATCTAGCAGGGAAAAGAAAGGATGGAAAGAAGAAAAGAAAGGTGATAATGGCTTTTTATTGAAACACACACATTTACTTGTCTTTCCATCCATAATTTCTAATTTAATTCCAAAGACATAGCTGGAACTTTCCATTTAAATGATCAAAGGACTCTGCATTCATTACAAATTTACAGACTCACGTAGTGCCTTGGAACACCATTTGTGGTGAATGAATAATCCCTATATTTATTCTATAAGTGCATCACTATCAGATGACTTCTTAATAAGCCCACATTGGGGGAAGTATTCGAAGAGCTATTGGAAGGAGCAAATAGAATACAGGTTTGAAGACCTAAAACTTGTAGCTCACTCCTAAAAGATTCTTGGTAACCAGCAACGTTTTGTAGTTCTTGATTTTGTAATAGGCATGGGTTCTGTCTGATTCTCTGCTGTACCTCTAACCAGTACAGAAAGAACTGTGAGTACATATATTATGATGGGGAGACTGGATACAAGTTGTTACTGGTCAAGATTAAACACAACCAATATGGAAGACTAGATTACGCAGTTCCAAACATACAGACATACTGAAAAAAAAATCCTAAAATTCATCTTTCAATTTGTACTGCTGGGCAGTTTGATGCATTACCAAAGAAGATACAAAGACATTCTTATTTTACAATGAGTTAATTTCCTAAACTCACAGTTAAATTTGGTTTCCATTTCCCATTAAATTCAAATACTGTGGTAGAAATAAATGATCTTAAGAAAAGAATCCACTCAAAATATGAATCTTCAAGAAGAGTAAATGTACTTAGTTGCTCAATTTATAGATTATTAATTTATAGATTATTATCTTTGAATTACTGAATTATACATGTTTAAAAAAATGACACCCAGGAGTCATATGTAGTTGAGATTCTAAAATTTCCCCTCTAAGATGTAAATGTGATGGTTATTCTGTAAGTTTCTTAAGACCTTATAATTATGCTCTAAAAGAATATTTTACCTGATGATCTTTCAAAATCTAAACTCTGGTCAACTGATCGTGTCACAGTCAACTGGTAACAAGTTTCAGTAATCAGCTCAGGGACTTTGTAGACGGCCTCAGTTTGTACCATCTATCCCTCTAAGACTCAGAATCCCATGAGTGAAACGTGAAAGGCGCTTGTCTACTGCTTGTAGCACAGCATGTGAGTACTCACTTATGGCACTGTTCTGATACTGAACTCAGCTTTCCGTGTCTACTGGAGGCGGCTCAGGAGTCTGTGAGATCACACTGTGTTTGATATGACTTCCAAGGGCATGTGTCTCCCTGGCATTTCACATACCTTTGTTTTTATATGCTTTGGTTGCAGAAGGCATTTGAGAGCAGTTCAAGTAATTTTGTGATGTTCAGAATCCTGTTCACAAAATTTCCTTTTAGTTATAAAATATATCTAGCTGTGGACTCTGAAACCGAGGTTTCTAAACAGTAATGGCTTCAAAACACACACACACACACACACACACACACACACATACACACACACTGAGAGAGAGAGAGAGAGAGAGAGAGAGAGAGAGAGAGAGAGAGAGAGAGAGAGAGAGAGAGAGAGGCTGTTTCAAATTCATTTGATATAAAAAGTTTACAAGTATTTTAACCAATATGATCTATTAATTTTGAAAGGAAGTATGACTGCACACTTTTAAAGGAAAATGTAACCTAGTAATTCTGAGACTTTCTGGGCCTTCTGAGTCAATGAGTTTAAATGAATTTACATCTTGCAAAAATCCCGATTACTGTAAAAAATGTGTACATGTTAAGAGCCAAATCCTTCATACTTACTATAGTCATAGAAAACTCATGACTGCATGTCAGATTTCCAGATATTGTTAGATATCTTAAAACAGACTCTTAAAATAGGACTCTATTTTGTTGATTTTAATTGGAACGAAACTATGAAATAAGTAACTTTCTGCCAAGAAACTTGTCTATTATAGGTGGGATTTCCCACGATTCAGAGTGTGTGATGAACATTCTCACTCCAGTTTGAAGCAGAAGACGAAAGTTGTCAAGAAAATCGACATGATTAGTCAGTGCCAGCTAAAAGTAATGTAAATGAAACTTAATAAAATTAGCAGTCATTTCCACCTTTGAGTAACTCATAAACGTCTCTATTACAGAAGGAACACATATTCAAAAGTCATGCATTTTGATTTTCAAAGCAAAAAAGTATCTAGAAAATAGATTCTTAATATTAAAAAGTACTGAAAGCAAAACATTAACCCACTTTTTAAAAATGTTAGCCGAAGTTAAGCAACACATGAGAAAATAACTCAGGGAGATAATAAATGGCAAACGTGCCAAGAGTTGAATGTCAAAACCCGAAACATTGGGACATTATAGACCTCTTCGGGTAACACACGTTTTACAGTTTTCTTGTAAAAAGCACGACACAGGGCGGCAAGTGCTTTCCCAAGACTACGAACTGGATTATTCGAAACCAATTTGAAATAGCTGTTTGTAGTAGATGTTATGAATTCTCACTTCTTTTAATAAGGTTTCTGAGAATTCTGGAATTTCCTGAACCACAGCGTGTAGCAGGGAGTGGGCTTATCTCAGCTCTGTGGTTGTTTACAAGGCTCTTTCCGAGCCGTGTGCTTTTTCTACCGGAGGGCGAGCCAAGAGTTCTCGGTGCAGCTGGCCAAGGGAGGCGGCTCAGGTAGGGGCCGAGAAGCCCCCGCCGCCGGGGCACGCGCTCCGGCTCCACGCGGCCAGGTTAAGGAAACCTTCCCAAGACGAGCTGGGCGTTCTTTCCCGGGTTCAGAAGGCTGCGTGGCCGGAGGAGCTCTGGCTCGGAGGTGGTGGTGGTGGTGGTGGGGGGTGGATCTGCCTCGTCTCCGGGGGGACCGGGGTGGGGGTGGCCCCGATGACCGGCCAGACCCGCGCCGGGCGAGGGAAGCCGGGAGGCAGCGGTTCCCCCCCGCGCCTCCGTCGAGTCCATGGCGAGCGCACGCGGCTGGCGGCTGGCGGCGGGAAGAAGCCCCAGCCGCGTGCGCTCGCAGGAGGGTGTGCGGCGCGGGGTCCGCACGCGCGGGGCCGGCTCGGGAGGGCGTGCCGGGGGCGTGGCGCGAGGTGTCCCGGCCCGGAGCCCCGCGCCGCGGCCGGTGGGCGGACCCCGCCGCCGGGGGTGGGGGGGGAAAGAAGCGCGGCCCGGGGAGGCGGCGCGGCGCCGCCAGCGGTTCCCCGGGCTCCCGCTCTCCCGGCCGCCAAGAACGAGCCGCCGTGGGCGTGGCCTGCGGTGATTGGCGGGCGGGCGGGGAGGTCGGAAGTACTTTGTTTTTTATGCTAATGAGGGAGTGGGGCTTGTCCGTATTTACGTTGAGGCGGGAGCCGCCGCCCTTCATTCACCCACATGGTCCTTCGAGGTGCCGCCGCCGCCGCCCGGCCTGCGCCTTCGCGCCACTTCGCGCCCCGCGGCGAGGCCGGAGGGGTGGGGACGGTCCCCACGCCGCCCGCGCCCCTCCACGGAGCCCCGAGCGCGGCCCGGGCCGGCCACGCCGCACCACCCCCCTCCTCCTCCACCACCGGCCTGGGGCCTCGGGAGGGCCGGAGTGGCGCGGGGGCTGGCGAAGATGGTGGCGGCTGCTCCGGTGAGTGCGCCCGCCGCCCGCCGCCGCCGCCGCAGGCTCGGGGGGAAACCTGTTGTGTGCGCTCCCCGGCACGGCGGCGGCGGCGGCGGGGCGGGCGGGACGGCCCGGGGCGGCGGGGCCGGGTGGGTCTCGGGCCGTTGGGCGCCGGCGTGGGGCGGCCGTCCTGGCGCGCACGCGGGCCGGAGGGGCCCGAGGGGGCGGCGGCCCGGAGCCCGGCGGGGGCCCTGCCCCGGCGCACACAATGGCCCTCGGGAGGCTCCGCACGAGGGCCGCCCGGCCGTCTCGGGAGCGGCGGGCGGCCGGGCGGGCAAAGTTTCTCCCGGGGGGCGAGAGTTGAGCGCCTCCAGAACAAAAGCGGCGGCGGCGGCGGCGGCACATGGGGCAGGCCGCGGGCCGGGAGGGGGCGCGCCCACGAGGAACCTGCGCGCGGGCGGGCGGGCGGCGCGGCGTGGGCGGGCGTCCCCTAAACTTTGTGCGCGCCCCGAGCGGGCGCCGGGACGCTGGAGCTTGCGGGCGGCGACGGGGGGTGGAGGGGGGCGGCCCGGGCGCCCCCCGCGCGCTCAGCTCCGCGTGGGCTTTGTGTGCCACCGCGTGGGCAGCTCCCCTCGTGCGGGGAGGCGACGGAGAAGCCCGCCGTGGGGGGGGCCGGAGGTGGGGGGGAGACCCGGGAGGCCCCGGCCCGCCTCCGGGACGGCGTGGAGCCGCGGGGCCGGGCGCGGGCCGCGAGCGCGGCGCGGGAGGGCTGGGCGGGCTCGGCAGGAGCGGCGGCCCCGCCGCCATGTTCCTGCGGGGCGGGCCGCGCCGCGCGCGCCGAGGGCGGGGGACATGGCGGCGACTGCGCGCCGCCGCCGCCGCCGCCGATTGTTCCCGGCTTAGGCCTCGGGCCGCGTGCGGCGATCCCCGTGGCCGCCCCCCCCTCCCCCCGCTCCCCCGGAGCCCGGCCGCGGGGCGCGCGGGACACAAAGGACGGCCGGCGTGTCCGGAGCCTCGCTACGCCCCGGCCTCACCGCCGCTCGTCGCGCAGCCGCCCAGAAACGGGCGCGGGGAAAGGGGGGGGGGCACTTCTCCGCGTCCGGCGCGGCCCGGCTCTGACCTGCCGCCCCCTGGCGGCCGCGCCCGGACCCGCAGCGCCTCTTTGCCCCCTTGTGCGACATGTGCTGCCGGCCCCGGGCTCCATGAGCGTGGCGGGCACTTGGCAGCGCCGGGTGTTCCCGTCCGGTTTTCTCTTGATGAGCCGGCCCGAAGGGGAGAGGGCTAGAGAGAGGAGCAGGCGCGTGGTTTTCTTTGACGTGACCAGGAGAGGAGAAAATGAGCAGCGTGCCACGAGGATCCCAGCAGTTGGGGAAACAACTCTTTATCCCGGCTTGCAGCCACGAGGTCTTGATGGGGGGAGGGGTGGTGAAGAATGGTCCCGTGGTGGCTCCTTGCCTCAAGCTCCGAGCTGCCCGGCAGAGTTCGGGGGTGATGTTGGTCGTATTTACAGTATTTAAGGAGCACATTAATTCATGCGAGTACGTGAATCTTCGTAATTTTTCAACTTTATTCCTCTCCTGCCGTTTTTCACCCAGTACATTGTTGGCCTGGCTCTGTTGTCCTTGGTTTTGCAGATGGATAGGATTGTCCTTTAAGAAGGTTAGAAAAGAGCAAATTTCGAATAGGGTTTAGAAAGTGGTAATTTTGAGCAAATGCGCTTATCCTTTCTCTGTCTTCGTTCCCCCTCCCCCCCAACCCTAGTCATACACGTGGACCCAGCAGCACCGAAGCTCTGCCCCAGGATACTTGCTGAGAAGGAAGTTTGCCTGAGTGGGTAAGTATATTCTAATTTCTGTAGTTAACTTTATATAAAGACGATTGTTTTCATTTTTGTCGTTGAGTTTTTGCAACAGGCTTGGAGTTTTAAAGTGTGAAATAAATTCGTTTTGGATTATGTCAAATTCCTACAGAACTAAGTGTGGGTGAGCTAGATTTTAAGTAAATCTACAGTGGATTTTGGAAACTGTTTCCAAAATAGTTGCAGACCTTTTAAGTTGGATTGATACAGTAGATTTAATTTGGGGTGGTACATAAGACTTAACTTTTTAAATTGTATGTTAAAATGTATTAAACAGTAATTGTATTAATCATTTTGTCAAGTGTCTGCCAATGTGGAAGACAAAAGAAAAGGAGTTGCTGCCTTGTGGACCTGGAGCTTTCCTCTAAAAGGTACTAACAAGTCAGACAGCCCTGCTGATACTGTGTCTCATTTGTGGATGGTATGATTTTTGTGTGTGTCCCTTAAAGTGTGGACTTGGAGGAGGCCTAGTGTAAGGAAGAGCCAACATTCCAATAGGGGTGGTTAGAACTTTGAAGAATGCTACTTAAGGCTTAAATGTGTACAATTTGGAACTTGTTGCTTTTAGATGATTTTTCTCTTGTTGGGTTTGAGCTGAAATGTATGTTTGTCACAGATGTTAGCGCTTTGGGCTGTTATTCTAATTATTTATTTCAAATTTAGCAGGAGTAAAGAGAACCTGACCTTGTGAACCTGAAGACTGACCAGTCAGAATAATGTCAAAGTGCTTACAGTGCAGGTAGTGATATGTGCATCTACTGCAGTGAAGGCACTTGTAGCATTATGGTGACAGCTGCCTCGGAGCCAAGGGGGCGGAGTCTGGTGAGGGCTGCTGGTGCTGAGTGCTTTTTGTTCTAAGGTGCATCTAGTGCAGATAGTGACGTAGACTGGCATCTACTGCCCTAAGTGCTCCTTCTGGCATAAGAAGTTATGGCCTCACCTATCGAGTCAAGCAAGCGAGTAGGGGTCTTCATAGTTTGTGTTTGCAGCCCTCTGTTAGTTTTGCATAGTTGCACTACAAGAAGAATGTAGTTGTGCAAATCTATGCAAAACTGATGGTGGCCTGCTATTTACTTCAAGTGTTGTGTTTTTTTCTCTTTTTAAACTAATTCTGTACTTTTATTGTGTCGATGTAGAATCTGCGTGCTGTGTTTGATGTGACAGCTTCCGTAGCACTAAAGTGCTTATAGTGCAGGTAGTGTCTAGTTATCTACTGCATTACGAGCACTTACAGTACTGCCAGCTGTAGAGCTCCAGCCTCGGCCTTCACCCAGTCCCACTGTCGTACTGAGCACTGGTCTATGGTTAGTTTTGCAGGTTTGCATCCAGCTGTATAATACTCCGCTGTGCAAATCCATGCAAAACTGACTGTGGTGGTGACAAGTCTGTAGAGAAGGAAGGGAAACTCAAACCCCTTTCTACACAGGCTGGGATTTGTTGCAATGCTGTGTTTCTCTATGGTATTGCACTTGTCCCGGCCTGTTGAGTTTGGTGGGGATTGTGACCAGAAGATGTGAAAATTAATATTGCTGAAGATGCCGCTTTCCACTGTAAAAAATGTTTGCTATGGAGTGTATGAACTCTTTGTAACTTTTATTGCTTTCACTAGTATAAAACGTAAGTTTCTTTGTTGGAATTGGGTTTGTTTCTTACTGAATCAATTTACTTTGGGGTTTGCACGTCAGACGTAGCGTTTTGGGGGTGGCGCTTAGAGACCCACAGGTATTCTAGTTGGTAAAGTTAGAATGGTGCCCTTAGCTCACTTGGAACCCAGAGGATTCCAGGGTTATTTTACTCTAAGACCATTGTTCAACTGTTGAATTGACATGAGTTAAGAGAACATTATTTTCTTTGAATCCCTGTGTAGAGAGGGTTTTTGCACTTAGGATGAGGTGTTTTCTGATGACACTGTGCCTGGTGCATGAGGTCTTGGTGGCAACAGTTAACGGCTTCTGCTGCTGTGTTGTGCACACGCAGTAAGAAGACCTTCAAACTGTTCTTACCATGTGCTGCCTGAAAAGCGAGAGTGGGTTTAAGGGCAGGTGACAAGCTCCTCACTGTAAACGGAGGAGCTGCTGTGCACATGTTCTTCCCTGCTGCTGCCCTTGAGTGGGGTGCACTGGGGTTAATATCAAAATGCTCCATGTTACAGGTCTAGATCCTCCTGTCTAGATGCCGACACCACAGTTGGTTCCAGGCTATGTGAATAGATGGCCATTGAAAGGAAACCTAAGGAATAGTAAAATGAATAAAGATGAGCTATGAAAACAGATCTAAGCTAATAGTACGTAATAATTTGAACTTTTTGTAACCTTTGCAGTAAACCACCTAGAGTTATGTTTTCCATCTCTTTATGTGCTGCTTTTTAAAAGAAAAGTAAAAAGCTTGTTAGTCTTGGATCCTGAGTAGCAAGGTAAGGACTTCGCAGATGGAGTTTACTGTAAGATACATGTTTAGGATAAAGAGTGATCAGAATTGTACAATCAATAAAATGGAAATGTAATCTGATCAGAATTGTACAGTTATTCATACTGGAAATGTAATCACTTTTACCTGAGTTTTTGAACCTTTTGAGTTGAAGGAAAGTTGTTTTAGATGATTAGTGAGACTTACTACTTTAAAATGAGTTCTATAATGTCAGCATGATTCATATGCTCTATAAAGGGGGATCTGTCAGTTGTGCTCTTAAAACTTTTTGAATATTTTCATCTTTCAAAGTACCTGCCAGATACTTCCTATATACGCTAAGTTACAAGTATTAAAGGTAATAGGGTCTTTATTAGTATCATTGGATGCTGAGCCAGTGTCATAGGATTTATGTTTTAGAATGTTTTTAACTTGGATTGAGATTTAAGTCTAGTAAGTAACATGATAAATAAATGTTTCCTTGTGGCCCCACAGTGAGGTGGAATTTTTTTTCCAAGATTTTGTTTTAATTCTCCCTTAAGTTTGCTTCTATAAGGACATCAAGCAGATCCATGTAAACTTTGGTTCAACAGCTAGGGAGACTAGTTGATTGTCTTGTTTCTAATTTAAAAACAGTTTTGGTCTCTTCCACTTGGATCTTGTGGTGGCTTAGGTCTGTAGGCTTTTTCAGGAAAGGAGATTTGCCGTGTTCTTGTATGTTACATGTAAATAGTTCTATTAAGAAGGAAGCACTATTAAGATTTTAAAGCTCCTTACAAACTGTTGATTTTACTAAAAGCCCTTGAGATGTTCATTTTAACAGGCAAACCAAAGCACAAAAAACCAGCTGGATTTTTCCCTGTGTATGGTTTGAAGAGTCAGTCCTACACAATTCCTGACACAATGCAACCTGCAGCTGCCTGGAGAAAGAACAATTCAATGTCACTAAAAATCTGTTGTATGTATAATGAAATTCTGTTCTGTAACTGATAATATTATGTAGTTTGTCTGGTTTTAGAGAATTAGTAGGTGAATCTCAAGCATTGGAAAAAGTTCAGTGGACAAGGTCCATTTTGGGTGTCTTAACTGGCAAGAAGAAGCATGTCTCCTTACAGTTTTCCAGATTATTTTATGTAGAGGTGACAGCTTTGCTCTCTGCTCAGTCAGAATTAGTGTGCTTTTCTTTTTGGGTGAGTGATTTATAACCTACTGCTAGTTTGTGTAGGGTTTATTTATTCAGAAAAATGCCCTGTGAATTTTAAAGCATGGGAAGATTGTTGACAAGGATTTCAATGGGTTTTTCCCCAGGAATCTGACATGGGCAGAGCATTTGGAGGTGCCTGCTTAGTGTGCTTACAAACTAAAAAGTGCTGTTCATTTAATGCTAATAAATACTTCATTTTAAAACTTGATGTACATAATGAGCATGTGGAAATAAAGTTAACTTGTAGCACTGGTGATCTTGTATCTTTTTTCCTACAAGTAGCCCAAACATTTTCCCGGTTGAGGGCATGGGGACCAGTCTTTAACTGTGAAGTTTATATTTTTTGTCTTTAATTTTACAGGTAAGAGGAATCATGGTGAAAGGTTAAATGTTCCCGAATTCAAATCTAAGAATAAGGCCAGTTAGGATACCTTTTCAAATAGATCAGAAAAACTACTTTGATTTGGGTTCCTAACATGATTTGGAGGAAAGTCTATAGGAACAATTTGTTAGGTCTTTATTGTTTTGTTTTGTTTTAGGACTTTAGATGATGGGCATAAAAAGCCTTACCGGTTAATGCATTTCTGACTAGGACATGTATATATGTAGTGTGTATTAGTCGTATGCTGAGGTTAAAACTTAGGGAAAGACTGTTCAAGTGTTTGAGATGTCTAAAACTGGTTATATTCTAATGTTCAGTTTTTTTAAACAGTGTATGCCACTTAAGGATTACTACTTAAGATGATAGATTTCTGTAAGTCATGATAGATTAGAAACAAGGTACCAAATTAAAGGCCAGCGATTTGAGAAGTCAAGTCTCTTGTAATGCTGAATATTTGGGAAAAAGTAAATGCAACATGAGTACAGAATTAGTTCTTGCATGAAGCTTTTATTTTTTTAATGTACATCTCTAGTAATTGAAGAACGGGTTATTAGGATTTCATGGTATGGACAGAGGACTGCTCTTAGCAGGCAGGCTAGAGGAGGTAGGACTTGGAGAGGAATTTGAGCTCTCTAGGGGGCTTGGCTTTCAGCAGTGTGTCTTCTGATTCTGTTCTGAAACAAAATATGTAGGTTGGTACAGTGAAAGCCAGAATTGTGTGCTAGATTGTACTGCACATCATTTAGAATGCTTGTGCAGTGAATGAGAAAGGATGATTTGAAGTATTGGAATTGTCTTAGTTTTTATGTGTTATAGGTGTTAAGACACATGTAACCAGTATCCTGAGTTGTGGCATGAGCCATCAGAATGCTTAGGAACCTTGAAACTGTGTCTTGCAGTTTGCATGAAGGTACAAGTAAATGGCAGGATTTTGTGAGTTCCATATTCGTTCAGTTTCTTAGGTTTGTATCTGACTTGAGGCTAGGTGCAACTTTTTTTTCCTTCGTAACTTAATATAGTAATGTTTGGGATTTTTTTTGTCCATCGACATCAGTTAGTTAAAAATTGCACTTACTACTTAATTCCCATCTTAACCACTCCACAAAGAATTTGATCCTTAATGTCTGGAATTTACACTGTATTTACATGGTACTGTTTTTCAATTGCCGTGGCCCCAAATTTCAAACCTACCCTCTTGCATTCTCACATGCTAGCTAAAGTTCTAAGGTCCACATTAGTGTTTTCTTTGAGCTTGTGAGCTCTATTTGACCACACCAGTGTGCACACAGATCCTCTTTGCTTTGCCTTTACCTTTTCAGGCAGTCTGATGGTGAACTTGCTCTTAGCAGTCTATCTAGCTCCTTTGTGGTGTATTGAGTATGTTAGATTACAATCTCCACAGGAAGGAATAAATTATGTCACCTGGCATGTTGGAAATGGAGAGGAATCTGAGGTACTTTTCCAAGCCTCATTTGATGTCTTCATTTTTAAAGAAGGAATGTGCTCCTGCTTCCAACCTCCGATGGTAATATGTAAACTATGAGCCCAATGGCTTGAAGATACGGTCCACTGGTCCACTGGTGCTTAGTATGTAAAACCTCACCTGGTGTGTAGAACCCACAAACCTTCAGTAAAAGGAAGAAGTGTCCTTGCATTAGTGCTGCTAGAATGCAAAGGGCCTGGAGTGGGTGTTAACTAATAACACGTGAATCAACAAAAGCAAGTTGTAGGGAGGCACGTGAACAAATGTCTTGATTCACATAGTGCAGAAGTGTTGGTTTCTGTTAGTTTCCTAATGATCAGAAAAATAACTCTTGGGAATGTGTGAACAACTGAGTTTTCAGGGACTGAAAATTGATTTGTACCCTTAGCAAACTTAATACTGAGATTGTTCAGGTACTTTGTTGCCTGGAGAAAATAAGACTGCATGAAAGTTTCAAGTGGTTGGGTTCTCAAATCTTTTTGGTGTTTTTTTTTTTTTTTTTGGAAACGGGGTTTCTCTGTAGACCAGCTTGCCCTTGAACTCAGATTCAACCTGCCTCTGCCTCTAAGTGCTGGCCACCACTGCCCAACTGGTTTCTCAAATCTCAAATCAATGTTTAGGGCGTGGACATGTTTTGTTTAGTTGGGGCAGTTTTGTACAGCATAGTTTGATCATAACTCTACTACCAAAACCAAGCCTTCAACTCTTACCTAGTCCATTTTGTGTTACCCCTAAACTGCTCAGTGGTTCCATCACGTAGAGCATGATCAACCTACCCAAAGCCATATCCTTAAAACTGGCTACCCCACAAGCCCTCTACTGTCCATAGCTCCCCAGTTTGGGGTTGAGGCACATGTGACTTCTCATTCAGAGCATGGAGATGGCAACAGGGACATCAGGAGTTAAGGCCAGCCTCAGGTATATGGTTCCATGAAACTATCAAAAATGTAACCACAACCTAAGTTCTTTGGTCATCAATAGTTTTTCCCTTGTGGGTTCCACATTGGATATGTCAGTGCTAATCAAACTACAAATCTTCCTACCTAGGGTCTCCCTCCAAACAGACTGGACACAGGTGTTAGCATCTAGTGACAAAGCAATATAATTTCTGTGGTTTTTGAGGTAAGTGTAGTTTATTAGATGACAACAGATTACAAAATTACAGCAAATGATTTTCTTGGAGCTTTGTATGGTTTATGGGCCCCTGTAATATGTAAGCTCCAGTTTGAAGACTGCCCTTAGTGGCTATGTAATAATTGGCTAATGTGTTCAATTTAAGGGGGTGTTAACTCATTAGTAACAAGCACAGGTTTTTCCCACATTTAATACTTAACCAGCTTGCCACTGAAAAGAGCAAGTCTTAATCAGATTCACTGAGAACATTAGGTCTCAAAACCACCAGGAATAGTTGAGTAAATCTCAGGTGTATGCTTTATGACCCACTTCTGGTGCTAGTAGATACGGATCGCTTCCTTGGGTTAATGACAATATCAAAAGTTTGAATAGTTAAAAGATGAGAAAACATGGGGTCATAGAAACACGTATGTGGGCTGTAGTCCTCAAGGTTTTTGATGAGGGAAGGGAGAAATTAGTTGGTGACCTGAGCACAGCTTGGACAGCAGCCTACAATGATCTGTCTCTGCCCACCCTAGTATAGTCTGTTCTCAGATCTGAAATGGTCTGTAGGAGAGCCCTCTGCTTCCCCTAGCCACTTACCCTGTTACTTGTTTTAGAGAAAGTATTTAGTACATGTTTAGATTCTTTCATTGAATTTCCTATTATTCCAGTTTTCAACTCTGGGTCTGAAGTCTTGAGATGGCTCTCAAAAGCTTTGTTTCTGAAGATCTAGGTGGAGCAGAATCTCCTTGTCTTATAGTCTAATGATTGCATTTCTTGGCTTTATCTTCAGCCCCAGAGTAGCAGTTAGAATCCTTACACATGGATTCTACCCTTTTTCCCTTTCAGGAATCCTTGTGACTATATTATGCTTTCCCAGATACTAAGTACTGTTTATGGCCAGTCAGTTAGCCATGCTTCCATCTGCCTCCTTAACTTTGCTGTGTAACATAGCTTTAGGTTCCAGGGGTAATACTTGGATATCTGCTTATCACAACTTCCTCTTTTCTTTTGGAGTCATGCTGATTTTAAATGTGTGTATAGTCCTAGGCCTTTGTAACTCCTGAGGATTTAGACTTCAGGAAAGTTCAAGAGCACAATTTGAAGGAGGGCAAAGGAGCAAAGGAAGATGCTCATGAAGATTTTTTCCTTATCTTAGGGCAATGTAAGAAAATGATCACAAACAATAGACAGTTGCCATTGGGTAAGAGGAAGTACTGCTAAAATGAAAGGGATTCACAGTACTTCTCAGCAGAGAATTTTAGAAAGAGTGGCACCCCAGTCAATTAGCAGGTTAATTAAAGGTCTCCACAATAGGGAAGGGATGAAATAGAAATACTTGCTAGCCAACAGCATGTGTAAACATTCAAGGGTGGTGGTGGTTTTTTTTTTTTATTAAAGTATGAAAGACCGCCAGGGTTTAAAGTGTCAGAATGCCTCCAAACTGAGGAATGAGACTCTGTAGGCAAGTTAAGAAATAAGCAATTTATTCTTTGTTTAAGGTACTAAAAGCAACCACTAGTAAAGCAGGGAAAACAACAGTTTATAAAGTAAAGACCAAAAAACCTTTTATTTTAAATTAAACAGATATTTAAGCTTCATAGCATGAAATTGTGGATTAATTTTGGCCATTGGGAATGTAGGCAGCTAGACAAAGATGAGTCTCAGAGCTTCCCCTGGTTGTTTTCTGTCTGACTTAAATATCTATTAAACCTAGGTCCCTAAAAACAAACAAATCTTAATTTGTTTCCCTTGAAGTGTATGTAAAATAGGTCTTCAGTAAATAACTGTTGACTGAATTTAAGATTTCAAGTGTTCCATGGTTAGTGCAATCTTGAATTTTATTGTTAAGGGTATTTCTATAAAGTTCTTCAATGTTGTATGATGCTGTTTTGTTTCTTTACCTAGCTGTAGAGAGTAAGGAGTGCTTATTTTAGGGAAAAGGCGAACAAAGGACTATATCCAATAGTGACAGAGGGGCATTTGATACAAAAGAAAAACTTCTGTGTATGGCTGAACAGGGCAGGTCATGGAAACATTCCTTTGTGATAGAGTTCAGAGCAACTCTCAGAAGCAGCTACCAAACCAAGGCTTGGTTCACAGATCTTCAATCCCAGTATTCTTGAGAGTGGGATCAACTTGATCTACATACTGAATGCAAGGCCATCTTAGGTAACTATTAACACCCTGTCTACAAAGTTAAAAAAATTAAATCTAGTTTTTCTGGCTTTTTAAGTAAAGAAGAGGCTTGAAGAGATGGCTCAGATGTTAAG